AGGGCTCATTTTTCTGGTTAATCATTAAATATGGACATTTGGATTTCAAATCTTGACCTTGGGATATTTACTGCATTACCTTTAGCGGCATATTAAATCTAGCAGCTAAAACTGTGTGTTTGTTACAAACACAACAGTGGGTTGACTAAACTAGAAAATGTTTTAATTTTTCCAGAATATTGTTAACTCAAAATGTTTAAAATATGAAATATTAAAAGTTTCCAGAATTAAAGATCTTCCCTAGGGAAACTCCAACTGTTGAACCCTGAATGGCATGTTCATCTATGTACACTTACAGAAACGTACATTAGAAAACATTTAACTCAATCTAAGGTGAGGTCTGGAAAGATCTTTTGGTAAAATGCTTTTCTCTTTTTCCCCCTTAAATTTGCTTGTCTCAACTCTGTGATCAGGTTAGAATAATCCCTAATGTAACTGTTAGGTCTATATTGCATTTGGGTTGCTGGGATTTCATTTCTGAGACAGGTAAGAAAATTGTTTCTACTTTGGAAAACAGATACAGAAAGGCAGACAACGTGACAGACAGCTGTTCTCTCATAGCTTGGAATATAAAAGCATTACCTTAGAACTTTGTAAGGCATGAAACATTTTTCATAATTTAGAACATCATTTTCTTCTAGAGAATTAGCTACAGCGATTCTCAATGAAGACAGGGCCTGATTTTCATAATCAACTGTGGGCTTTTTAAGCTGTACAGGTGCACAAGCAAAATCTTACTGTTACGTAATTTTTTTTACTTTAGCCACTCCAGGCACTACCATAACCTCTTATTATTTTGCATTCCTTATGTGGTATGGGTTGAAAAAAGATTGTTGCCCTATATCTTCACTATATCAAAGGAAGAAATGGAACTGTATTTTGATAAGAACTTAGTCATACAAGTTTGATTTAACAAACTGTTGAAAGAGTACATCTGAGGTAATCCCTGTCCTCGTGGCCCTAACTGCTCTGGGACTACTTTTTAAAAACTTAAAAAATCCAAAACAAATTTACATGTCTCAAAGTCCTTTGCTAAATGCTTTACATAGATTATTTTGTTTAATCCTCACCAACACTGCTATGAAGCTATATTGTCACTGAAGCTTAGAATGTTACTAATTTCTGTGATACTGAGCAAGCCATTCAAGATAAATTTCAAACTGAAGCAACAGGAATCCAGAGGCCACTGGTATTATTCTCCAAAACACTAAAGGCAGTCAGTTTTCATGTACCATCTCCAAAATCTTTTTGCTCTAAGATGGACCCATTAAGTGTTTGACTCTTGGGGCTGCTTTAAGAATTTCAAATGCTTGTTTTCTTGGGTCTTATCTTTATTCCTTGACAGGTAGGGATGAAAGAACGTTACAGGATTCTGAATGTAAAGACCCCAAATTTAGCAATTAAGTCAAAGAATTTAGAGCTAAAAAAAAGGATACTCTATTATATACCATATACCCAAATATCAAGAATACTAAGCTAACATCAACAGGCACAAGAGAAGACGTTCAACATCATTAACTACCAGGGAAATGCAAATCAAAACTACAATGAGATATCACCTCACTCCTGTCGCAATTGCTCTCATCAATTGCTCTCATTAACGAGACACGAAATAAGTGTTGGAGAGGATGTGGAGAGAAGGGAACTCTTATACACTGCTGTTGGGAGTGCAAACTGGTGCATCCACTAAGGAAAACAGTATAGAGATTCCTCAAAAAATTAAGACTAGAACTACCATACGATCGATCTAACTATTCCACTGCTGGGTATTTATCCAAAGAACATGAAAACATGAATTCGTAAAGATACAGGCACCCCGACATTCACTGATGCATATTCACAATAGCCAAGACTTGGAAGCAACCTAGGTGCCCATCAAGGGACAAATGGATAAAGATGTGGTATATACACACAATGGAATACCAGTCAGTCATAAAAAATGATGACATCTGGCCATTTGTGACAACATGGATGCACCTTGAGGATGTTATGCTAAGTGAAATAAATCAAAGGGAGAAAAGCAAATACCATAAGATCTTACTCCTAAGTAGAAGATAAAAAGAACACTCAATCACATAGAGAGAGACTGGACTGGTGGTTACCAGAGGGGAAGCGGGGAGGGAGGAGAGCAAAAGGGGTGATTAAGCACATGTGTGTGGTGATGGATTGTAATTAGTCTTTGGGTGGTGAACATGATGTAATCTACACAGAAAAGGAAATATAATGATGTACATCCGAAATTTATGGAATGTTATAAACTGTTATCACAATAAAAAAATACATCAATAATTTTTAAAATTTAGGATTTAAAGCAAGTTATTAAATTTTCAGAAAATTCTAGTATTTTGTTGCCTCTGTCTAGGTAGTTCAGTTTCTTTTAAATATCTAAATAGCTTTACCTTAATCTTGTTGTAACACCAAGCTCTTACTGGATAAGTCTCTCTAATAATCAGACTTTCTTAGCATTAGGCTAAACCCTCACTCTAAGAAACAGCTAGTTAAGTCAGGATATTGTGGTATTCTTAAGGCTAAAACAGATCTTCTCTTCCCTTCCAACCTCCCCTCCAACTACCATGTATAAATTGATCCCTAGGTGATTTCCTCATCTACACATTTTCAAAATTCCTTTATGGGTATTATTAGTAATAAATCTGAAATCTTTACGAAATCTTTTGTTACTAGTGCGACACACCACAAAAAATACAAATAATGGGACGTGGACTACAGAGTTTTAAAAATACAGAATAGCTTGTTCCAACCCTGGAGATTAGTATCTTTAAGAGTTCTATAGGTGATCCTGACACTTAACCCTGTTGAAAAAACTCTTGCTCTAACAGCAACTGACTCAATACTCTTTAATGAGCTACCTATAGTTATAATACAAACAAATGTCCTAATTCTTTTTTGAGAGATGAAAACGTTGGTTTCTTTATCTACCTAAGGCATTTCTAAATCCACCTTCCAAAGTTCTCCTAACACAGTGTTTTCTCCAGGACACTGAGGTTATTCTTGCAGAAGCTAGCATCAACAACTTCTGAAATATTAATTTTATAAATGAAATTTGTAAAGAAATGTATGGTTTTTTTCCCCCTAAAAGTTAAGGGCTAAAAAATGGAGTCTTTTTTTAGACATTACTTAGATTTGTTTCATTTCTTTATGGTTAGATGTCCATTGGGTATAAGGCTGGGAAAACTTCAAACTACCCAAACATACGACACATGACAAATTATAGAAATCTCTACATTACACAGGTCTCATTTCTCACATGCAAGATTTCTGAGAAATCTGCTGTTTTTTTCCCTCCCACAAATGTGTCCTCCATAGTATCAGATCAAGGAGGTTATTGCTTATATAAAGAAATACCTTGTAAAATGAACAATATTCACTGTAAGTTTGTATAAAAGGCAAGAACATCTCTGAATCATCAACCTCTAAAAATAATTTAAGAGTCTGAAACTAAGCCTAAATGTAAACCTGTCCAGGCTCTCTTATTTCTATTACGCCTAAAACACTACTATAATTATACTAGAGGTGGGAAAGAAAATACTAAACGTTTTGTTCCTTTTCCTATACCTACCACCATTACTTGCAAAGAAGGTATTTCTAAATAACAAATATTTCCATGAGCCCTCCCCACTGCTGTATTCATGGATGAGACCAATACGTATCACCTTTGTTTAAAAATGAAACAAAGCCATTTATCTTGTGACTTGTTGCCCAAAACATGACACATAAGATCATTCTTCACAACACTGTTTTTGTAGTTATCTGCATACATCTGAGAGACTGCTTCTACCACATTTTTGTCATCTGTAATCACTCTGTTTAGCCTTTCTTTGACAGAAGAATCCGTTTATCAGCTATAATTTCATTAACTCCTAACAGGTGACGTGCCGACTCTTACTGATCCAAAGTAACTAGTTAATTTTGTTTTCAGAATAATATGCAAAAGGGAAGGAGAAAAACAGCACATCATCAGCATTTTTCACCCTTCAGACACCCTCAGGAGTGTAAAGAAATTCCCCATCTTCCCATACTGTAGACAGACTCTGAAAAAGAACAAACACACAGCATTGTTTTAGTAATATAACTGGGAAAAAAACACAGTTCATTTGAGATACCGGCCTAAGTAACTTAAAGACCAGTGACTTTGGTTTCAGTTAATTAATTAAAAAAAAGATTTTTTAATTAGTCGTATACATGGAGCACCACAAATTAAACACTAAAGGTATTTTTAAAAATAAGTTGGTTATCCAAGCTAATGAACATCCCGTCTCCACAGTATTTTACGTACACTCTAGGTTTAGCCAAGAACCCGTGTTACTTCGGAACCGATCGTCAGCCATCAACAGGCCTATAATCAACAACATCCCCTTTCAACATCTCCCTGCTTTCTCCGGGACGTCGTTTCACAGCGGGCGCGTTACTGCTTTAGGCTCTCCTTGTCTTCTTAACTGTGGGGCCAACGCACCGTCCCTTTCCAGCTTGGCTACCTTGCAACATTGATTTCTTTGGACCCTTTCGCAAACCATTCCTGTATGAAAAACCAATGAGGGTCCGAAACCTTGGGGAGGGGTAAGGAAGGTTAAAAATAAATGACAAGAAGATAAAAATAAATTGGGGAGGAACAGCCCAACTCCGTGGGTGGAAGCTTCTCCGACCAAAGGTGAGAGGGTCGCCGCCCCGGTCCCTGCACCCAACCGCCCCAACTGTCCGGCTAGAAGGTCTAAATGACACTCTGCGCCCAGAAGTAAAGTGACGCCTTCAACACCTCAGTTAGAAAATGGAGCAAGAGGCGTAGGCGGCCTATACAACTCCTGCAAGACCGTGAGGCCGAGGCCTCTTGATGCCGCCTCCAGCCGGACCCGCCCTACCTCTGTCCCCCCATGCCGCCTCCACCCCCGCAGTTCCCAGGTCGGGGCCCCAGCTCTCCGACCGGCTTGTCCTTCACCTCACCGTCCCCACCACACCGCCAGTTGGCTTCAGGGCTCCCTAAAAACCTTAGCCTGGCTCCACGGAATCGTCCCAGCATTCCTAACATGGCGGCCGAGTCTCCTTAGCTCCCTTCACCGGCTCCGGGCGCGTCTGACCTTGGCGCATTTTGGGCATTGTAGTTCCGGCGTTAGCCTCGTCCTCCTGCCAGGCCCTAAGAAGACTACAATTCCCAGAATGCAGCGCTCCTGAGCATGGCTATTGGGGCCTTTTGGACAGAGAGATGATGTCATTGCAAAAACCTCACTGCATTCATTGTGCTACGGTCTATCCACCCCCCTGCTGCTGCTGGGCTTGCGATTGCCGCTCGCTCCAGCTGAGCTAAGACTAGCAGCCGCACCAGGGCAGGGACTGACTCCAGCCCTTGGACTTAGGACAACGCAACAGCTTCTCTTGCGTGCGTGACTCATTCGCACATCATTTCTGTTTATGTCTGGGGTGGGGAGAAAAATCCCAATCCAGGTGAGTTGAAGTGATTTATTCAAATGGTTCTACCAAGTTATTCCTCCCGCTTAGTTCTCAAGGCTTTCTTTTGGGAAGATGGGGGCGGGAGGATTGGGAGGTGCTCGTAAGAGCTGCTAAGCGAAAAGCTCCGTGCAATTTGGGTCACTGCAAAGAACAACTCCAGCAACCTTCCCCCGCCAGAAGACCAATGCTTGCCAATTCCCTAGTCGCAACTCTCCTCAACCTTTTTGAGGCTTGGAGAGGGGAATGGGCTGGGGAGGATGTTGGGAAGTGCTCTTGGAAGATCAGAAGGCGGCAGAGGTGGGGGACTGCAGTCCTGTCACATACAGCCCGAGGGCTGAGGTTTGAGTGGGAAGGGGTGATGCGTGGGGAGAAATGGAGACACTGATTTAATGTGGTCGCACTACTTCAGCACATTTCTGTGTCGCTTGAGCTAGCACACACTGTTTTTTTAGATGAGCGTGCTTCTGAGTAGGTTAAGTTTTGTGGGGCTCTATTTTATGTGTGTCTATGATCGTTTGTCTTGCCTTTTCTGCTGATTTGAGGTGACAGTGTCCTTTATTGGTGCACTCCGTGCCAGTCAGAAACATTTCACGTGTCTGGGGAAGGTTCTCTTAGGCTACTGGAAGCAGCATTTTTGTTAAGTGTTTTTCCTCTCCTGACTGCAGGATTTCAGGATTGTTTGGAAGTGGAGCCGACAGATTTGTGCTTGTGTGTTTTAAATTACATTGCGATAGGCTCCTTGCCACTGACAATGGTACCATAATGAGCTGCTGTTTCCTGAGGCAAGTCACCAGTCACAAATAGCTTGGGAAAGCGATCATTAGGGAAACCTGGGTTCATTTTAACATGTTAGGGAAAGGGAAAGTTAGAAGCGCTGTTAACCTTCATTTGCCATTACTGAAAGGTAGAGTGATCCTGACCAGGGAAATCGAGGAGCATAGCATGGTTTTTTTGCTTTTTGTTTTTAAACGAACTGACACGTTAAACAGGACGGAAAGCATTCTGACTTGTGTGATATTGGCTCTGTTCTTGTAAGAATTATTAGGATGATTAGTGCAATAAATATGTTACTTTCAGATAAACAGCTGGCTGACTCCAGAACAGATGGGGCCAGTCTTTGCTGAGAGATCTACAACCTTGGAAATGAATGGACCTGGGGTCAACCACACCCCCTCTTGGAATGTCAAAAGAAGGAGAAATGCCAGAGTGTTTTATGCTTAACTCTAAAATACCAAACCTTTTCGTAGCCCAGTCAGGCATAGGGGGAAAGTCATTACTGGTTGTCTTCTGATGCTGAACCAATTTTGTTCATTTTAAATTCAGACACTTAGGTCTTCAAAGTTGCAGCTGGGCGATGCTTCGTTAAATGCTGCTGCTTGTTACTGAATGCAAAGGACAGTCCATTGTATGGGCTTTGTGGGAGAGTGATTTATTGGGATGCAATGAGCAGCTTTGGGATTTGGGAAAAGATGGGCTGCCTGGCTTTGCCTCTCTCTTCGTCTCTCTGTTGCTTACTGTCTGCTTTTCTGGGCACCCTACCCTTTTCCCTTGTACCTTTCTTTCCCTACCCCTCTATATCTCTTGAAGTTCTTTCAGTTTCTTCCCCTAGTGTTTCCATTTGCAATTATCGTTTTCCTCTCTGTTTCAAAATCTCCCTGTTTCAACCAGTGTATCACGTCTCTTTCTCTAAGTCTCTTTCCAGTCTCTGAATAACCTCTTCACCCAGAAAGTCCAGGGTAGCTATAGACTGTGTGAATGTTTGTTCTACAGAGTCCTCTTTGAAGGGGCTTTGCCTTGTCTTTTTCTTGCAATTGGTGCTAGTCAGGATAAGCAACAACGAGCCTGACCCCTTGGCCTGGTTAGTGGCTTCTGTGACAGACATCATTTGGCCCCAGCAGCATGTGGACAGTGAAATGTTGGAGTGGAGCTCATGCTACTTTCCCTTTCATTGGTACCTGTAGTAAGAACTGCCAGTGGGTTAGCAAGGTTTTTAAATGCTTTACATGAATTGTTCTCATAATTCCCAAAGGATAAGTAGACTTCAAAAGACTTCTGCCTCATTTAATGCATTTTTTTTTCTTATCCCTCCTCCAGAAAGTGGTGGAAAGACTGTCTTTTCCCCTCCCTTCCCTGTTGATTGTTGAGGAGCAGTCCAGGCGGCCAGCCTGCCTGTTTGTTTTTTTGAAGACACTTGGCATGGCAACAGCTTTCCCTCCTGTGGTTTCTTCTCCTTTGTGGATGAAGGAAGTTTGTTATTTTATGCCCCCCTCTTAAGGAGAAGGGTGTGGTGGCAATGTTTGTTTGTTTAATGTTTGTGCTTCTCTGGGCATGGAAAGTCTTAACTGCTGTCCATCTGGAGGCAATGAGTGTGACACGCAGATTCAGAAGCTGTCATCTTGAACCTCTCTCTCACCATTTTCTCATTCCTAGTTTTCTTCTTCTAAGATGCTCCCCCTCCTACCCACGCTTTTTAGTGTTTTAGGGAGGAGAAATGAGCTGAATGATGGGTTAGCTTTGGCTCCATCACTGCTATCTCTGTGACCTTGAATGACTGCATTTCTTTCTGCCTCAGTTTACATATTTGCAAAGGGATAATGGTCCTTGCACCTTGGTTTACTTGGCCTCGTGTAGTAGCCCATTACAATCTGGCCCCAGCCTGTCATTCTGACAACAGGTATTAATTGAGCAGCTATTGTGTTTTGAGGACTGTGGCTACATCAGTGAAAAGAGAAGCTTCCCCTGCCCTCATGGAGTTTATATTCTAGTAGAAGAGACAATCATTGGACAAGTAATTGCATTGCAATTGGAATGTTATTGCCAAAGGGGGATGTACTACAGGGTGGAATAGGAATGCCTACCTAGTGCTCTCCTCTGGTCTGGGGGAATCAGGGGAGGTTTCCTGTCAGAAGTGACATTTCAAGAGACTTGAAGAGTGAGTGGAAGTAATTTAGGATGGCAATGGAAGGTGCTTTGAGGGGGAAAAAGGGTTTCTGACAGAGGGAACTGCATTTTCAAAGTGTAAAGGAAAGAGTGGTATGAGAATTTGAAAGGAGGTCGGTCAGTATATGGGGGCAAAGCGAGGGGAGAGAGACCAGAACGAAGAAGAGTGAGGCTGGAGAGGTGGGCAGAGGCTAGAGAGGGGGCAGTTTTCTGAGCTACAGGGGAATTTGGTCTTTATCCTAAGAGTATTAGGACCTAGTGAAGGGCTTTGAATTAGCTGGATGAATTACAAGTCTAGAATGATATTAAAGACATCACCATGGCTAAGTGGAGAAGAAATTAGAGAGAATTGGCCAAAGTGAATATGTGAAGACCAAATAGCAAGTCATTTTTGTAGTCTATGTGAGGGATTATGGTGGCCTGGATCTAGGGTGGTGGCAGAGGGCTTGGAGAGAAGGCAAGAGATCGGAGAGACACTAAGTTTGAAGATTATAATTGATAAGACTGTTGACTAATTAGATGTGGGGATAGGGAGAAGAGGGAGTCAAGATGACTCTAGTTTTTCCTTGAGCCACTGGGTTTGCCATTTACAGGAAGGAGATGGGGACCAGTATTTCTTTGCAAGATTGTTGTGGTGTTTAAATGAGATAATGTATTTTAAATGTCTGGTTTTTGTTTGTTCTTTTTTTGAGAAGGAGGGACTTCTGGACATGTTGAGTTTGAGGTTCCAGGAAGACATCTAAGATCTTTCTCTCACTCATCCTGTCCGTGTGTGATGCGGCATGATGGAATAGAAGAAAGCTCTGGTGAGGCTTTCTAAGACCGAGTACTACTTAATCATTAGCTGTGTTATGTTGGACATGTCATGTTCTTTTTCTGAGCTTTAGTTTCCTCATCTGTAAAGTATATTTATTCCATTAATTTGTACTGATCCTCAGCTATATGTGTACTGTGCTGGAATACAGCATTGACTCAGATAGCATTTGCATTGGAAGAATTTGTTTGGGTGAGGGAGACACACATAAACAAATAATCACATACGCAGAGGTATGTAGGCCGCTAGGAGAGCACAGCCCTGTGGGAGGTGTTCATTCTTCCTTACTGGGCGGAGGGGCAGTGTCCACAAAGTGGCAGGTGACCTTTGACCTGAGACATGAAGGCAAGAAAGAACTCTGCAGGCTGTGTTCCCAGGCACCTAATCGAATGCCTTGCAAAATTAGGGACTCTGTGAATGTTTGTTGATTGAATGAACTAACCTAAGTCACCAAGGGCCCATTCAAAAGCAGGAAATATCAACACACTGGAAGAGAGCAATTAGTAATGCAAATATCAAAAGTAAAATGCTTTTAACAAATGCATTGAAGTGTCTTCCTGAGCCCGGCAGCCTTTGAGATGTTTTGTGGATGACTTTTAGGGAAATTCAGAAATATTTCATATCTGGTTTCTTTTTGGGCTGAACTTCCTTTACTCAAATTAGTTTCTCAAAAATTACTTTATTTGTATAGAGTTCCCTAAATCAGTGGGTTGCAGACTTTTTAGTTTTATAGATAAGTAAAATTACAAAAAATAAGATAAAATTGGATGAACTGTTGAAAATGGTTATTTTCCTATAGTAAAGATATATTTTTTAAATATCCTCCTTCACTTTTATCTCATAAAATAAAGCACATTTAGTATCAAAGGTTTTAGGAAGAGTATAATTTTTAAATTAGAAAACATTTAGCTTTATAAAAAATTCTCTACATTGTCTTTATTTTTCTCATTTTGTTGCAGAATAGTAAAAATCAAGCCAAACAAACAAACACCAGAATGTTATAATAGTTTATGGAACCATTGCCCTATTTTCTCAATTATGGTGGAAATGTGGCCCCTCTCCAAGTAAGAACATTTCCAAGTATGGGAGAATGTTCTATGGACCTCAGATGATTTATTTTCAGTTTCTTTGCTGTAGGAATCCAACTCTAAAACTAGGTAGGCCTCCTGTAGATTGGTCTAAAGTAGGGATTCTTAACTTGTCCCCGAAGGATCCCCAAGGAGACCATGAACCCCTGAGATCATATGTTAAAATGTGTATGTGTGCATGTGTGTGAGTTCACATGTGCATGCTTGCATTTTTCTGTCACCACATGTATGTCCTTGGGCAAGTTACTTAACCTCTTTGAATCTCTGTTTCTTTGCAAGAGTGTTGTGATGTTTAAATGAGGTAATATATTTTAAATGTCTGGCACTATACATTCTATAACTGGTGCTCATGGTAGCTGTTTTTAACATTCTACTCATTTATTGTTTTTAATATTTTATTTATTGGCTGATGCTTTCTTAGTACCCACAATGACAAAATGAAGAACCAGAAAACTTAGTGTGATTAGACAACCTGATGCAATGGGAAGTAAACAACATGCAGAATTCTTGCCAGGAGTGTTTAACCTAAATCTAATCATGAGGAACTAATCAGGCAAATCCAGATTGTGGGACATATTGCAAAACAGCTGGCCTGTGATCTTTAGAAATGTCAATGTCATGAAAGACAAACAAAATAAAATAAAACAAAATGTATGGGGGACTGATCTAGATTAAAGGAGTCTAAAGAGCTGTGACAACCAAATGCAACATGTAGCCCTTGGTTGGATCCTGCACTTAAATAAAAGCTATTAAAGACGTTTTTGGGACAATTGGAGAAATTTGAATGGGAGCTGCATATTAGATGATCAGTAACAATGTTAGTTTTCTTGGATGTGGTAATGATTCCGTTTCCTTAGCCTAACATATTGTAGCTGTTGGTGTCTAGAAGCGTTGCCATTCCTGAATGTCGTCTTTAAGAATGTCACGGCAAAGCTAGAAGACATCAAGGGCTGCTTCAGAAGGCAGTGATTTTCTTGGTCACTGCAAGTATTTGATCAACTTATGGGCTGGAATACCACTTGTTGGGGATATTGTGAGTAATGTTTTATGTCCTTTCTGAAACATGATCCTGTCATTGTACAAGAATGCAAACTTCTGCAGCTGGCGCTGATCTGTGATATGACTAGAGGTGGTGATGCAGGTGGAGCACTAGCTGTTTCCAAAGTGAAGAGGAAAGGATGGGAACTGGCATTTAAATACAAAATAAATTTAAGATAAATATGTATCTTAAATTTGGTTTTTGATTCTAGACATAACATAAGACTAATCAAAATTCATTACAGAAATACACAATGAAATACATAGGGAGAGTTGCCCTTAATTCCACCTCATAACCAACTGTTGAGATTTTGAGATGTATTCCTCTGTCATTTTTTCCCACACATATACTAATGATATTATTACAATACGTATTATTCTGCTTGCTCTCTTAATGTATTTTGGGCATTTGTCCCATGTATTTGCATATTGCTCTAACTTACTCATTTTAATCGTTCTTGGACACTGCTGTGGCGAGCATTGGAGTACGCATCCTGTGGTGGTGAACTCCTGGGAATATTTCTGAAGGATAGATTTCTAGGGGTAGAAATGCTGGGTCAGAGGACATGAACAGTTTCTCTTTAATTGCCCCTGATTTAAGTTCTTAGCAGCAGTCTTTGTTCCATTTCTACATCCCTTTGCCAAGTCCATTAGGCATGTGGGCTACGCTCTCTTACTAAGGAAGGAAGTTGTGGTGCATGTACAGAAAGTGGGCAAAAATGGAATCACAGAGTTCCTGCTGGTTTTTCTGATGGCTGTGATAAAGGTTGATATGTAAATAATGTGGAAACCTCTGGAAGAGAGAAATAAAATACATTATCTCTGCCTGCAACACAGCATGATGTTTGAAAAGTGAAGTGAAACAATAAAGCAACCAAGAGCTTTCCCCAGAAAAATCTGCAGAACAATTTTAGTTTTGAGTTATGTTTAACTTCACTAAAATGTGGACGCCATCAACCTTGAGATGAAAATAACCTCTTCTGCTCACTTCCTCTCCGTCTCAGTCTCACAACCACACTAGAAAGGGGAATTTAAGCTCCACTTTTTAAATATCTGAAGCAAGTGGTTAAAGGCCTGATTGTTCATCTTTCTCCTTATCAATATAAGCAATCCCAGGGCAGATTTTTGGCATTTTTCTGTAGAAAAGGTATGAGTTTTAGCAGTGGCCAGCAGTGACTCACTGTTGGGCAGAGACCCTGGGGAAGAGATTATAAGGATCCTGAACTGTGAATTATTTCCATTCCATTACAATGCCAATCGTTTCCATTCTTTTGTGTCTGGGTGGAGCAAACACAAATTTGATCTGTGTGCTATGTGAGTAATTTATCTTTTCAAGCCTCAGTTTCTTTATCTATAAAATGGGTATTATTGTGAGGCTTAAATGAGATAATGTGTGTAAAAGGGCTTTATCAAATTTATGTGCACATAAATATGTGCTGTTGTTAAGGTGCTGCCATCTTTGGGCCAGCTCATATTAATTTTTCCTTTAATTCCAATGACATTTGTAGCCTGAAAGACTTTTTCTAGGCATTCTGTCTCATAATGTGCTATAGTTACTTTCTTTAACCAATGTTTATGAGCATAAGCTAAATGCAAGACCCTGTGCTGGGTGTTCTGATGGGGAAACAAAGGTGGAATCACCCAGGAGCTTTTCTTCTTCCTCACTTTTATTCTAGGAGACTAATGTCTTTTAACGAGAGTTTTCAATAAATAGTGCTTTACAAATGTGTATTATGTATGCTCTCTTATTCTGTCAATCCTAGGTGATAGATTTTAGTTCCATTTTTCCATATAAATGAGGAAACAGTTCTTGGTGAGGTTAAGTAACTTGTTTTGTTTTTTAAAGTTACCTGGCTTAAGAAAATTTGCAGATGTAGGCCCTAGGTAGATTTTCAGGAACCAAAACCATACTGCTTCCCCATCGGCCTCCTGTTTTTGCCTTGCCTTCTGATCAAAAGTATAAGCTTCAAAAATGCAGGACTGGCTGGTGGCATTTACTTTGATGCCACTCATTTTACCTAGAGGCACAGGAGGAGGAGCTTTCTGTGGATCTATTGAGTTAGCCGAAGCCGTGGTGTGAGCTAATGGGTGCCAGGTGGTTTACATGTTTTATTTGATTTTTTTTCCCAATTTATTTTGAAAAATTTCAAACATATAGAAAAGTTGCAAAAATATGACAGTGAACGCTCCATACGCCCTTCATCTAGATTCATTTGCTTTTTCTGTGTACACAGGCACACATTTTTTTCTAAACCACTTGAAAGTGAGTTGCAGACATCACAGCACCTTATCTCTAAGCGCTGGAGCATGTATCCCTTAAGAACAAGGACATTCTCCATGTAACCACAATACCATTACATTGAAACAATAATATTTTTTGAATTTCCCTGATTGTTTCAAGGTTGTTTATAACCGTATTTTTTTTTCTTTTGGACCCAGGATCTAATCAAGGATTACTTATACAAAGTTGTTGTGTCTCTTCAGTTTCCTTTAATGTAGCACACAGTACCTCTGCCTTTTTGTTTTTTATTACATTGAAATTTTGAAGATTCCAAGTCTGTTGCCTTGTAGACCGTAAATTGGTTTCGTCTGATTGTTTTCTCATTGTTAGACTGAGGTGAAACATTTGTGGTAAGAGTTGCCCTTGCATCACATTAGGTGACACATAACGTCAGTTTGTGACCTCACCGGTGCTGTGAGGTTTGATCGTTTGGATGAGGTGTATTGCCAGATCTCTGCATTGTAAGGGTACCCTTTTCTCTTTGTAATTAGTAAAATTATCTGTGGGGTGACACTTTGAGATTGTTTGGATATCCTGTTGCTCAACAACTTTTATCCAGTGTTTTTAACATCTATCTATAATCCT